TGGACCTCGCCCTGCGTGGAGCACCCCTTCACCGCGCGCTGGAATTATTTCAGCATCTACGAGGGGATGGGCCGCAGGCATGGAGAGCGAGGGGGAAAGGAAGGAAGGCGGGACCGCGGCCACGCTCTCTTGTGTTGTAGCCACGAATGACCAGTTCAGCCGCTGGCAGATCTGAGGCTATGAGGCGATCAGAGGACGAGGAGGGCGATCAGCCGGCGAAGGCCTTGACATTAGACGGCAGGTATTTCAGGCAGCGCGGCAAGCAAGAGAGTGAAAGGGATGAGAGGCGAGACAAGTTGTTCATGCTCAGGTGTTGTAGAGAGTATGCTGCGGCACTGAGCTCTAATCCAGCGTCGACCAGGTTCTATCATAACGCCAAAGTGAACAGGAATGGCGCAAACAACGGACAATCTGAGTTCATGGGCCAAGACAAGACAACTCGCTTGAAACACGGAACAACGCGAAGCCCCAGATTATCGTTTTTTATTCATTGTTTTGCCGATCGGCGCGGGTCCCCAAACCCCCCCTCCTCCCCCCCATGGAGCAGATCTTCACTGTTTTTTGGCGCTTGTTTCGAGCAGGTGGAGTCTCCCCCAGTGGCCGCACTGCTGCAAACAGTGGCTCTAAGCAGAGGTCCGGAGCCAGACCTCCCGCCCCCGACCAATGTCGAAGCGCGGAATAAGAAAACGCTCACCAGCGAGGCAGCCAGCTCAAGACATCCAAGGCCAGAGTTTCCTGGCTTGCCCCAGAGCGTAGGCACAGGCAACCGCGGGAAAGGTGGGCACCGCACAGCCGGATGTTGCACCACGCGTGTCGGGTTTTTTTGGCACGGCGGCCTCGCACCGGAAATGAGGGGTGTCGGCAGCCGCCCAGGAACGGAGGGAAACGCTTTGATTGACCACATGGAGCTCCGAATCCTCCTATGAAGCAGCTTGCGCCCGAGGCTGGAAGTCCACGACCCCGATTTCGGATCCGCCGTACTTCTTCGACCCAAAGCTGCGGCGAAAGCGCATCCCGAACAGCGCGACCAAGTAGGGCGGAGATCTCCGCCTCAGAGAAGTGGGGCGGATGGTTCCGCACAGGTATAGTGGAAACAGCGACGGCGAAGTACAGTCAACCCGCGAAGTAAGGATGGGCAACCTTCCCACGGGTACCCTGGCATCCTTGCCGCCTCGGTCCATCCTCGGCCACTTTCGCTGGCAGCGCCCCGCTCGTAAAGCTTCGAAATGGGCGTCGCGCATCCTAATGATCCGGGCCGACTGCAGGACGGAGATTTCTGCCTCAGAGAAGTGAGGCGGATGGCTCCGCAAAGGAATGGCCGAAACAGCGACGGCGAAGCAGGGTGGAAATCGACAGCAGTGGAGCTTGAAAGTAGGGCGGGAATTTCTGCCTCACTTTGATGAGATCGCCCAAAGTACGGCGGCGGATCAGGGGTTAACGAGGCGCCGTTCCACCTCGGCGCCCCGTGTTGTGTGTCGACTGGCTGTGGGTGCGCTGGTTTCAAGTGCGCCGCGCTCGGCGCTTCCCGCTACTTCTCGCCTTTTTCTCGCTTCCTCCTCCTCCTCATTTTCCTCCTCCTCCTCCTCCTCCTCCTCCTCCTCCTCCTCCTCCTCCTCCAGCTGCTGTCGCGGCTTAGATCCACCCTCCTTCGCAGCTCCTGAAACCGCCAGGGCGCCCCCGCAGTGGCAGCGATGATATCGTCCCCCGTGCGGGGCCCGCGCTCTTCGTGAGAGGGAGCGTCCGCGCCCGCCGCCCGCGCAGGTTCCTCGCCATCTGCGTGGGCATCCAGCTGCACTACATGACGACGCAGTCGGGCGCGGCGCCCCCGAGCGGACTGGGGCATGTGCGCACAGTATCATACAATCCTACGCATTTATCTGGATTGCGCGGGGAAGAAGTATCAGCGGAGTTCGGGAACATTGGAGCGGTCTTGCTCCAAGGTACATGTCGTCGAAAGGGACCTGAAGACCCACATCGAGTCTTCCGCCATTCTCAGCATTATGAAGTTTCATTCGGTTTTTCGAGATCCTCGAACAAAGCTTGCGGCACGAGTATCATGCTGCACAATAAAGTATTCCCGCAGCGTTTCATCAAGAAGATCATTGCACCACCTGTCGACCTGGAGGGGCGCTGCGGCGCCGTGCGTATGAAGTCTGGTACGATGGACACCCTTTTTTCGTGTCGATGTATTTTCCAGTACAATCGAGTGCAAGAGCAGGCCGAGCCGAGCAGAAGCGCATCGTGACCCGCTTGCTGAGTTGGCTGCGAACACTTTTGCTCGCAGCTGGGGCAAGATGCACACCGATCAGCGGAATGGACCTGAACGACGGGCTCGGCAATGCTCGAGACTTCGCATTTGAAGGCGAATCGATTCCCGCTGAGGAGGAAGAGGAGGAGTTCGTCACCGTGGGGCCTTTCGACCGTGACACGGAGGGGGTCGCGGGGAGCGCACTTCGCCAGACCATGACGGACACGCACATGTGCGCCATTAATTCGTTTTACCCGTTGGGAGCGACCTTCTTCGGCAATGGCGACTCCACCTCGCGCATCGACTTTCTGGCAATACCTCAACAGCATCGACCCCATGTACAACGATGCACCATCCCCCATGCAGCAGGTCGCAGATTACAACCTATTGCGACGCTCGGTGACCGCGAACATCGACCAGTATTTGTTCAGTTTAAGTATGACTTCCAAGCTCAGTTCGGCGAACGCAAACAAGCATGGGGCTACGACAGAATCATGCGCTCCATCACACAGGGCAAGGCTTGCACGGAAGCGACACAGCAGATCCACACTGCAGTCACGGAGATCGAGGAGGATCAGTGGATTCAGCTTTGTGCTCGCGCGACGCCCGACGAGGTGTGGAACTCGGTGGTGAGCGTGATGACGAACAAGGCCATGGAACTTTTTCGGCCAAGTCTGCCAACGAGAAGGAGCTATCGGAATTGGAACGCAAGCGATCTTACCTTTTGGAGGCGCGGAAGATCTTCAGAGGCCAGAACATTGGGAACTCTTCTGATCCTGAGCAGAGACGAGAGCTGGAGATGCACCTGGCACGTACCACACCTTTCGAGGCTGATCAACAAGGAGCGCGAGACATCCCTGACTTGCGAGCTCAATGACGCGTGGAAGTCGCACGACCACTACAATGTGCAGCGTATCAATCGTCGACTATCCAAAAAGGGGGCTGGGCCACGACACAGGAAGTACTTTGTCCTGAAGTCCGAGAACTGCGATGCTCACGAGATCTCGGAGTTTCTGTGTCGGCCTGCCACAGCCGGCGGCCTCGGCGCCGCTCGGTGCGACTTGCAAGCGGAGTTGACTGAGAGATTTGAGCGTGAACATTCGGATGGATGGGGCGTCTCGGCCGAGATTCGCTACAACGCTATGCAGATCGAGAACATTGCGGACGCGAGAAACGACATGCTAGGCATCGTTCGTCAGCTTCGACGGGCCCCACAGCGAAGGGCGACACCTACGCGGTCTCTTCCGTCGGAGCTCTGGCCAATGCTCTTGGACGAAGAATGCTGGGAGGAGTTTCGAGGCGGTGGTCTCGGAGCTGATCTACGACCTTCGTCGGCTGCAGCTTTCTTGGAACGATTGATTGATATCTTGGCGGTCTTTCGGCGAACGGCATCGACTCCACTTATCTTCGATGTGTCGTCGCGCTGCGGGCTCGACAAGCACGGCGGAAAGTGCGGGGCGGAGGGTCAGCACCTCTTCTGCCCGCTGGGCAAAGCTTGGTACTCTCATCTCTGGGTTCGAGCGCGGCGCCATCGGGAGCCTTTGCCATGCGTATGCCACGGTTTCGCAAAGAAGCGCAGGCGGGAAGATGCAACATTGACACAGTGCTGCACGTCATGGCGGCTGCAGAGGCAGGGCTACTCTCACGCGATCGTCAACGAAGATGCGACTAACGCTTTTTCGAGTGTGTCACGGGACATCACGCTGGACACTTTACCCCTGCTGTATTTAGATGAAGATGGCAGGTTTCAACATCAACGTATCATTCAGAGCGCGTGCCAGATTCTCACACCGACCGAGTCCATCTGCTTGCGGCCTACAACGGGCGATTTCACGGGGCACCCAAATGCGGCGCGTGGCTTTCCATACTTCTACCAACGAGGTCTGGAACCCTTTTTTTACTATCCGTCAGAGGACGACCCCGAGTTCGATGGCATTGGTCACTGAGCCGAACGGCGTCGTCACTGATGTGGGCCTGTCTCTTTTCGCTGACGATATCACCAAGCATGTCATCCCAGGGCCAGGTCCTCCACCGCTACGCATGGGCGGCGAAGCTCGTCATCTCATGGCACTCGCTCGCGTCAGCAGCGAGCATCTGGAGCGGGCGTTGGCCCAGATCGGAGTCGCCCTGAATCCTGAAAAAAGAGCCTCCCTGCTTAAGATTGCGGGTCATGGTTCTCTTGGGCAGCGCTGATCTTCAGCGGGGACGTTACCACGAAGGGCAAGGTGGGGAGGTTCATGAGAGTTCTGGGCGGGTGACTTACTACGAGTGGGTCTCTGCAGGTGGAAAAAGTTGAACGCATTCAGGCTGGACGAGTAGGGCTAGGCAAGATCTCGCTTTTCTTGAGGCACTCCGCAGTCCTTAGCGCGAAACGCATGGCGGTGATCGCGTTCGCCCAGTCGGCACTGCTCTCGGGGATGGAGGCTAGGATTCCTGACAAAGATTTTGGCGCTGCCGCTGATCAGGTTTTTCAACAAGCTACGAGAGGGGGAATGGGGATCTTGGGATTGGAGGACCACGGTGAAAGTGAACTTCGGCGCTGGTCGGCGGCGCGCATGCGGGCCCATTGGCGAATCCTTCCGCGTGCCCAGGAGCTGCGTGTGAGGAGGTTGCGTTGGTATCAGAGTTGGTGTAAGTATCCCGGGGCCCATCGACAAGCTCGAGCGAGTGTTTTTGGGCGTCTTGGCTCCGAGGAGGTCATCACTTCTTCCTGGACTCTTTCGGAAAGCGCCAACCCCTGGGCTCGTCAGGTACTCGAGGACCTTCAGAGTGGATTTGAGGGCTCCGAGGGGCTCCAGCAGTTGTTGCCACAGGATTACCCGCTCCTCAAGCTTCTCTTCGATCAAGAGTTCGTCGAGTGGGTGGACATCGATTTCTCGATACTACGCGCGCAGGCTTTTTCGAGGTCGATTCCCCCGCCAGGATTTGATGCCATTCCTGTCGTCGCGGACGTCGACGAAGTGCCTGTCGTGAGCCCCTACCAGTGTAACCTTCTGGATGTGGATGGGGCCAGCTGCGGGGAGAGGTTTGTGTCGTTAAAAAAGCTCTTGCTGCACGCAGGGGGGGCCCGCGCGGTCCGAAATGAGGCTAGCCTGCTGACGGTGACCAATCAATGCTCTCGATGTTTGCAGGCCCTTGGATCTCGGGAGAACGCTCAGCGTCACGTGATGCGTTCGTACCAGACAGGGGGGCGCGCCCTTGGACGGAGTTCGTACACGCAGGGCGAGGTCATCATCCCCTCGTCGTTGAGATGCCCCGCATGCAGTTACTTGGCTCAAGACTTGCACGCACTTCGACTTCACATTCGTTCTCATTGCTCACAGCCAGCGCCTCAGCTGGCACGCAGAAGACTTCGCCATGGACCCCGACGAGCTGCTGGAGGGACACAAGGGCAAGGCCCAGGCGCCTCCCGAGGGCGAGCCAGTGGGAAAAAAAAACAGGCTCGGAGAGATGGCAGACGCGGCCGACGACGAGCTGGCAAAAGTGGAAGGGGCCTTGAAGGCAAAGGACATTCAGCAGGCCGTGAACATCCGCTTGAAGATGGCTTGCGCTCATGCACAGCAGCTCAAGGATCTGGCGGCGTCGGAGTGGATCTCGATCGCGACCCCCGTGGACTCCGCCCATCGTCGCGCCCAAGGCTGCAGGCAAGGAGTGCGCCGAAGTCACGGCAATCCAGGAACTGAAGAGCAAGGTGGGCCCACCTCATTTGTACATCGCGCGAGCCGCGTTCAAGTCGTTAAAGGAGGACGAGAAGGTTCGCCAGCTGCTGGAGCCGTCGCAGGTGCTGACGGCCCTGCACGATCAGTTTCTCTGCAAAGCATCGATGGAGGATATGGGCTTGGTCATTCGCCACTTCCGCGTGCGGAAGTGTTACAACGAGAAGTTCTGCCGCATCCAGTTCAGCATCTCGGGGGGCTTCCAGGTACCGCTGGAGGGTCAGTCCGTCGCCACGAAGCTGCTGCTGGAGCAGTCGATGATCAAGGCCCTGACCCACCTCGGGGGCAAGCTCAAACTCGGCAGCACTCCAATCGGCCACCTAGAGATGATGGCGCAGAAGCTTCTCGACCGTTCCAAGCCCAAGAGGAGCCGTGGCAGCGGCGATTGATGGCGTTACACGATCGGATTCGGCACAGAGAGCAGCGGGCATCGGCGGAAGCACCTTCATTATGTGAGTATCGTGATCGGTAACCCCTTCGACGCGATGCTCCTGTCAGAACGCGCCCTCCCACGTGGAGGCGCTCACGTCGCCACTGGCGCGACGTCCCGTCCTGGGGGCTGGGGTTGGAGCGTGCTCGCTCCAGTCCCCTTAGCGGCGGGGCGCGGGTCAGGTTTTACTGCCTCGAGTGTCGCCTTGTATGTTTGCTGCTACTCCATATTTGAGTTCGTGAGGGACATGCTCGTCTGGTGGTCTGTGCTATGCAGACTACAATCTGGATTGGATCACTCTCATTACAGAACTCGTTCGTGCTCCTTTTCATGTACCTTGTCTTCTTCCTCTCCTGAACTTCCTGACGCCCGCCTCGCTGTACTTCGAGGCACCGCCCAGCTGCCGCCCTCCCTCCTTCCTCCTCCTGAGGTCAGGTGTGCCTTTGAGGGGCGGCCCTTTGAAATTCGGGAGGGTTCGGGCGCTCTAGGGGCCTGCCTGGGGCCTGCCGTCCTGGAGGCTCGGCTCCTGTGGAGCCCGAGAGGATTGTCGCCTCCCGCTCGCACGGGTCTCACAGTTTGCGATCGGTCTCGCACTCGCTCGAATGCTAGGCTGCACGGCGCGCTTTACCCTGACCTCGCTCGATATTCGCTCGAACGACTGTCAGAGGTGCTATGTTGTAATATTGTGTATGCAGCATCAGGCATGAGACATCAGACATGCAGCGCAATGCCGAGTCTTCTTATTCTTCTCCTCCTCCTCCTCCTCATCATCATCATCATCATCCTCCTGTTCCTCCTCCTTCTCCTCTTCCTCAGACGACCCCTGCCTCGCCGCCGACGCAAAAAATGTCGAGGGAGGTCCGTCCTGCCTTGAGTGCCGCCCCCGCAGGCCCATCCCTCCGCGGCCGCCTCCTTCCCTCCGCCCCCGCCCCCGTGCTACGGTAGGTTCGCGTCGCGTCGACCGGCGGCGACCCCGCCGCTGGCGTTCAACGGTGGACGCCGCCGGCGACCAAGAATCAATCGATGTTGAACGATTTGGCATGTCGAAACGGACGATCGTTCAAGGTCGAGCGATCCCCGCGGCACGCTGGGGTCGGCACGACGCGAACTTGCCGCAATGTGTTTTTTCCCCCAACCATCCTGTGGTGTTGGGCCCTCGTTTTGAAGAGACAGCGCCCCGCGCCTCACCTCCTCCTCTCCTCCTCCTCCCCCTCGCCCCCTCCCATCACCATCATCATCATCATCATCATCACCATCATCATCATCATCATCATCATCCCCTCCTTCTCCCCACACCATCGTCACCATCATCACCATCCATCCCCTCCCTCATGCGTCCCCCCCACCCAAGGCAGCGCTTCGTGGCCCCATAGGGAGCTTCATCGAAGGCCCCATTGGGGGTGTTCGCATGCGCCCCCCCCCCCACCCAGGACAGCGCTTCGTGGCCCCATAGGGAGCTCCACCGAAGGCCCCCGTGGGGGTGTTCGCACGCGCCCCCCCCACCCAGGACAGCGCTTCGTGGCCCCACAGGGAGCTCCACCGAAGGCCCCCGTGGATGTGTTCGCACGCGCCCCCCCCACCCAGGACAGCGCTTCGTGGCCCCACAGGGAGCTCCACCGAAGGCCCCCGTGGGGGTGTTCGCATGCGTCCCCCCACCCACGACAGCGTTGCTTGGCCCCATAGGGAGCTCCACCGAAGGCCCCCGTGGGGGTGTTCGCGTGCGCCCCCACCCACCCAGGACAGCGCTTCGTGGCCCCACAGGGACCTCCACCGAAGGCTCCCGTGGGGATGTTCGCATGCGCCCCCCCCACCCAGGGCAGCTTCGTGGCCCTATAAGGAGCTCCACCGAAAGCCCCCGTGGGGGTGCCCGCATGCGTCCCCCCACCCAGGGCAGCGTTTCGTGGCCCCACAGGGAGCTCCACCGAAG